GATTTAATTCCCACTAGTTGAAGTGCTGTGGGCACTTGCCTGAGACATCGCAGATCCACAACACAAACTTTTACGTGACTTGAAACTACGTACGATATACATTTTCACGTGTTAAGCCCTGAACCAGGGTGGAGCTTCCTTCAATTCGAGAGAGATTCTGTAGAAGAGATCCACATCGTGTGCGGGACTCAGTGTTCTTGTTAGGGCATCGTTAGGCTGTTACCTTACCAATAAATAGGGGCGCATCCCCGTTTTTTCTGGAATACTCTAAAAAAAACCCTAATGTAACCCAACCACCGGTGTTTTGGATACACTATCGATTTGGAAAACTTTGTGGATTATTTCTATTTCTTTCTTTTTCCTCTCCGAGATACCTCAAATGGTCGCAAATTACTCATGCTTAGAAATATCTCACTACCGAGGTATTACAAAAGGAAAACAAGATGAAAAGTGGGACGCGAAGAAACAGAAGAGTGCGAATTCTGCATAATCTATTACCCTAGAATAACTCGTAGTGTCGTACAGCAGGTATTATTTTCTCTACACGATATGTCTCTGGTCCGCCTCCTGTTGTCCATGGAATATGGAGACTTCGGTGGTCACTCCGATACTTTTAGGCGATGACTGTCCCGGGCCACTTGGGGGGATATTAGTCTCCGAGCCCATCATCTCATAGTCTTCATACCCGTTCTTGGACCAAGATAGTAGGCGCTTACTGTCTCTAGCCCTAGACTTTAACCCGGATGTAGGCTTCGATTGACTTTTCATATTAGACCTGTTGCGCGTCGAAACCGTGTACTCGGTCAGATGAGTGAAGATGTTCCCAAATACTGGCTTCAAAGCCGGAACAGACAGCGCGATCAAGGTGCCTGCAATCTCGGCATTCTCGATGCCCATCATGGGATTGTAGGCCCAACTACCGTCATCAGCCCATTGGCCCACTGCAACAAAGTAAACCCGGACGGCGGAAATGACAATGACGCTGTTCCAGTTTTGTTAGATCTGGTGGAGATATAGCGGGAATCGATAAGCCTTACAGAACACCTGGAAACATAACGAGAGAGAGTTGGGCCTTCCTTTTAAGAGAGACGTGGAGTGTCTTGATAAGGATCGTCGGGATGATAAACATGAGCACATCGCAGGTCAATGAAACGCCGGAGTTGACGGAATAGACCAGACCCCACGTAAGACAGTTATAGCTGATTGGTTCTTCCTGCCAGGGGTAGGGCCATAGGCCTGTTACAGGTCGACAGTGGAATATCAATAGAAACAGCTGGGGAAGATATGCGGCGAATAGGAAGCCGGCTGCAATCTTGATCACAAGGTGTAGTTTGCTGGAGCGTGCAGCCAGGCGGTGGTAGAAAGCCAACCCCGATAATCGACAAAAGAACAGAGCAGTGGTGTAGAGGATGTGCGCAACGAAATCTAGAATCTCAGTCTGACGCACCGTGGGCATCGCCAGGACATACTGAATGTAATCCATATGGCGACCACTCCCCAAATAAATTAAAACGAGAGACAGAACGACAAAGGGGATGTAGATCATCTATATCGGGACTAAAGGTTAATTCCAGTTCTGTCGTCGTATCTGATAATTTGTCCGGGGTGATCATACCATCGTGAGAATGGCCAAAGCATCGTCGAGGCCGAGTTTCTTGACAAGCCATATCCGTGCGTAGAGCCGCACTATCATGATCGCCCCGGTGAAGCATACCAGGAATATGATGGCCACAATGGCCGGGCGATCGCGCGACTCGGCGAGGTACTCGAGCGACATCCCAGAAGGGATCTTCCCCGCGGCATCCGCGAGGAGAATGTCGTCGGGAATGCCCATGGAGAATGATCCACAGAAAGAAGGATTGGGCCTCACTCAGCGGGACGTGCGTGCCATCTTAAAGGTAGGCGTGTCGTGTCCATCCAACAAAGGCAAACCAAGTTGTTTCATGGTGGATGAAGGACGCAAACACTAATAAGAGAAAAATTGCCTCCGTTATAGAACTTTAACCACTGTCTGATAATGGCTCGCACTGCCCAGAAATGGGCCTTGTGTCAAATCAGCTCCAACAATGACTTTGAAAGTCTGGTTGCGGTGGATACTGAGTGACAACGAGTGAGATCCCGCAGAGTACCGAAGCTGTGGGCTTGACATTTGGCTTGCATCATATGGGCTGATGGTGGAGGTTGTTGCCTCGTGTAGCGGATAATCTGATTGCTAATTAACTTTGGTTCGGATTAATAAAAATATCTGAGGTTGCATCGAAAAATTCTGCAGTGGAGATAAGGAGACCAACGATGTTTTGTCTCTTTTCTTCCCCCTGAAGTTAATCTCGCAAGTCCGACGATGGTTGTTTTTGCTGACCTGCAGGCTCAACCCAAAATACGATTGGGAACGCCTGAGGTTAGAGACATCACGGTAGTGGCGCACATGATTTCTCGACTAGCCTGATTTGATCGGATCGAGATCCATCCTATCTCAAACCAACGTTCCAAAAGTCGCGAAACAGCCAACACCATCACCCCGATCGAAGAGTGGAGGATTTCCCACACTGGTTCGGCTGTTAGTGCCGCTGCTTCTCCGCTTTGGTTCGCTCTCATCACTGCCAGTATTAAACTATTGCTTGTAGCCTTGTACAGGTGGAACTAGTTCGTTAATGACCGCCACGACCTTCTCAGATGAGTATATGAACGTGGAGTTGTGGAACGAACCAAAAACGCTCCGCCGCCTCTGACATTGCTTTCCCCCTTGCGCGCGATCGACCCCTGATCAAAAAGGTCGATCTTCCCCCGTTTAAGGCGGTTGTTCCTACCAAACACCAATTTTTCATCATCGTGCAACCATCATGGTCTCGAAACTGTTCGGTCGGCTTTTGACCACCGGTCTTGTGTTGGCAAACTCTGTTTCTGCCAACCCTGAGCCGTCCGATCACGATAGTTTGGTTGCAGCTCAGATTGTGACTAACCCCTATGAATATGATTTCCCTGCCTTAGGCGCCAACGGAGCCTCCCTCTTCCCCATGCGTTTGTGCAATGGCTTCAAGCTAGAGGAAGCCAGCATCGACGCCATCCAGGAGCAACTCGAAGCTGGGAGTCTCACCAGCGTTGACCTCCTGCAATGCTATCTGGAGCGCATTTACCAGACTCAGTCTTATTTGAAGTAGGTTTTCCTCATTTGCCTGTATTTAATATCTCTTCCCACTGACGTCACCACCAGTGCGGTTTTGCAAGTCAACCCGGATGCTTTCAAGATAGCGAAAGCCCTTGATGAGGAACGCGCGCAGGGAAAGACCCGCGGCCCGCTCCACGGCATCCCATTCATCGTCAAGGATAACATCGCTAGCAAGGATCGTTTGGAAACCACTGCGGGTAGCTGGGCACTTCTGGGCTCTGTTGTGCCCCGTGATTCCCATGTTGTCCACGGCCTTCGTAAGGCCGGTGCTCTCCTCCTGGGCAAGGCTGCCCTGAGTGAGTGGGCCGACATGCGTTCGAACAACTACTCTGAGGGTTTCACGCCCCGTGGAGGTCAATGCCGCAGCGCGTACAACCTCACTGTCAACCCTGGTGGCAGCAGCTCCGGGTCTGGCGTCGGCGTTGGTGCCAACCTGATTCCATTCGCCCTGGGAACGGAAACCGATGGCAGTGTCATCAACCCCGCTCAGAGAAACTCAGTCGTCGGCATCAAGCCTACTGTCGGTTTGACCTCCCGTGCTGGCGTCATTCCCGAATCTCTGCACCAGGATTCCGTTGGTACTTTCGGAAAGACAGTGCGCGATGCAGTCTATGCCCTTGACGCCATCTACGGTATTGACCCCCGCGATAACTACACTCTCGCCCAAAAGGGAAAGACTCCCGAAGGTGGCTACGCGCAGTTCCTCACCAACAGGACTGCCCTCAAGGGTGCCACATTCGGTATCCCCTGGGAATCCTTCTGGGCCCTTGGTGACGAGGATCAAATCTCTCAACTCCTTGAGCTGGTCGACCTGATCAAGCAGGCCGGTGCCACCGTGATCAACGGCACTGAACTGCCTCACTACAAGACCATTGTCTCCCCGGATGGCTTCGACTGGGACTACGGCTCCACTCGCGGATATGCCAACGAGTCCGAATACAGCTATATCAAGGTCGACTTTTACAACAACCTCAAGGCCTATCTATCTGAGGTCGAGAACACTAATATCAAGTCTGTCGAAGACCTCGTCCAGTACAACCTCGACAACTACGGCTCCCAAGGCGGATACCCAAGCATTCACCCGGCCTTCGGCTCCGGCCAGGACGGTCTGATCGCCTCTCTCGAAAGCAAGGGTGTCATGGATGAGACCTACTACCAGGCACTCGGATTCTGTCAGCGCACCACCCGCGAGGAAGGAATCGACGCCGCCCTGAAGTACAAGAACGGAACCCTGGACGGCCTCCTCGTGCCTCCGGATGTTGCACAGAGCATCCAGATCGCCGCCCAAGCTGGGTATCCCGTCATTACCGTTCCGGCCGGCGTTGGAAAGGAATCTGGCATGCCTTTCGGGCTGGCTATCATGAACACGGCTTTCTCGGAGCCTACCCTGATCAAGTACGCCAGTGCTATTGAGGATCTGCAGAAGTCGACTGGAACCAAGTACCAACGCTCTCTTCCTGAGTGGCGTGGCTATTTGACTCGCAACCTCCCTGTGATTATGTAAATAGATTAAGAGATTAGGTGTCGGGTGGGAACACCGGTATATCTGCTTTCTTAGATGATAGACATCATGTAATATTTGGTTAGACTTCTCATAGACTATGTATGTCTTGATACATACTATTTGACTTTCATTCACTTTCTTGTTATTTTTTCTGTCTCTGTTTAGATATTTGAAATGTAAACCCTGTAGTTAACATCTAACAGTCTAAAGTCACAGCAGCGCGGTATGCAAGCACCAAAAGATTCGGCTCTCATCCCATATATGTATCTCCAATAACATAGAAAGAAGAGAAATCTATTGGTTGAAATGTTTGGTCAAGGGTTTCCAAGGCTACCACCTCGATACATCCCTCCCAAAAATACTATTCAACACCCACCGGAACGCAATCCGCAACTTATTCCTCCAACTCATGCTCATAGTCAAATACGCTAATTTCCACACAAGCCAGGCCCTCCGTCCCGTCAAATACTTAGGTGGTTTGCTAACCTCAGTAGGAAACTGCATCAACGCATTGGCATCTCCAATGTACGCCAGAGTGCCCATATTTTGAAAAGAGAACGGTTCGGATCTCTGAAGGTCGCCCTTGTTCAGCCTAGTAGCGAGCCACTTCGCTTCCTGGGTCGTCGCCTGCGCTGTCGCGGGTGGTGCACCCGTTTCCGGCATGGCGTTGTCACCCAGAGCGAAGACGTCCTGGAGGACGGCGGTTTTGCCGTCGGCGTTTTCTAATTGGACGCGGAGTTGGCCGTCGACGAGGAGGGCACCCACTTTGGGTGCCTTTTTGATGTGCCATGTTGTGTCTTTTGCGAGTTCCGGGGACGCTTGGGTGCCGTCTTTCAGCAGGGCTGATGCGGTGGGGAATGTTTCCACGTCTTGGAGAGCTGTCTTGACGAACTTGTTCATTGCGTTTCCGGTTCCCCAGACGCACATCCCGATGCCTACTTCGCCTTCTTCTTTGGTTGTGATTGTGAGGCAGTGTCTGGGGTCCATTTCGTAAGGAGGTTCGGCTCCTGGCGCACCCCAGCGAAGTCCTTCTACGTGGTGCGAGGTTTTGATGTCGATGCCTTCTTTCTTCATGGTCTCCATGGCGTACTTTGATAGGGATTCATCAAACATAGAGAGCACCTTCGGTGCTACATCGTAGAGGGTGATGGTGGGGAGACCTTTCACGGCAGGATATAGTGCCGTCATATCCTTGTAGATAAAGTCACGGAGGGATGCCGCTAGCTCAGTCCCTGTCGGTCCAGCACCGACAATAGCAAAATGCAGCAGCCATTTCCGCATCTCCGGAGTCGTGGTCGGTAGCACCGCCAGCTCGAAGCATTCTCGGACCCGACGTCTCACGCGTCGCGCATCACCAATATCCTTGAAGAACATGGCATTATGCCTCACTCCGGGTGTGTTGAACGTCTTGCTGACTGCACCAACGGCGATGACTAGTTTGTCATAGGGAACCTCGAAGAAATCTCCCTTCCCCGGGCCTTTTTCAGACTCCCTTTCATGCTCATGGGTCCGTGGCGTTTCTGTAACGCCTCTCGAGACCACGGTTGACTCACATAGAACAGTTTTCTTTTCCAAGTTGACAGCTCGTGCAGCGGCCTGGATGAAATCGACTTTAGCGTGAGGATCCCGAACTGGCTCCACGATGTTTGAGAAATCCAGCGACCCGCCAGCAGCGTCAGTCAGGAGAGGAGTAAAGACAAAGTATGAGCGAGGGGAAATAACGACCGGGGAGAACGACTTTGGCGACAATTTTCGGGAGAGGGTATATCCTCCCCAACCGGATCCAAGAATGACCACTCTTTCCTTCCCGCTGTCAGATTCAGGAACTGCCGCCGAATGGTCAACCTGCGTAGCCAGACATCTTCGAGACTGTACAAAGCTCGAGCGACCCACTCGGCATATACTTGATAGCAAAGGCCGGGATATCCGTCCGAGACGGACAGGGCTATTCACAAACATCGACGTCATTTCCAGTATACAGATTTCAGAGCCAGTCGCTTTAGAGGAAATTGCAGACGACTTGACATTTCATTCGAAGAACTTATTATGTAGTTGTTTAAGGTTTAACGATTGAATGGATCGGCAATGCAAAAGCACAATGACTGGCTCTGAAGACATGATGACCTCATCTCTTCAGCGCATGGAAACAACAATGTTAAGCGAGCTTCCGCGCCCGAGTCCCTCCGAAAGAGCTCCGCAACAGCGCGCACGCTAGCATAAATCTGAGCAGAGTTCTGTACTCTGGACCAGATCAGCGAGGGCATCGAAATCTCCCCGCGGAACCCGGCGGGTACGGATCGCCGTATTTCCGAGTTCCTCAAGTCAATCATCCGGATCCACATGCGAATTTGTGGCGATCAGACTGCAGAATTCCGAATCGTTGAGCAGGAAGGGCATGTGAGATGAGATAGATGGGAGGCAAAGAGGTTGGAGTTGAGAGAAGTAATTATTATCACGTGCCGGTGGCATCGATACAGGGCCCTATGTATGCACTAATCTCATAATATAGTAGTACATCAAATCTACATCCAATCATATCGCTTTCTTTCATAAGCTCGTCAATATATCTCATCTCGCCTCAAAAATATACTTCTTTTACCTAAAGAACGAATGGTTCCTCTTGTAGAGACAGGTAGTAAGCTTCCAGCCAATTGTGTATCAACACTTCTCCGGGACTTTGTCCCACTGAGAACCTTATCCAATCCTAATGTCGTTGTAGGCCTTGGCTCTTCGATCGCGGACTGCCGACGGGGTTTCTTCTTCCGATGAAACATCCACCGACGGGTCCGCCGGATGGCTTCCTGGCATCCATCGCCGATATCGTCCACAGTTAGGGCAAGGAGAATAAGTGGGATAGAAATGGCAACTCCAATGCCGAATGTGTATTCTGCGACGTATGAGAGAGGGAGTTGCTCCGATCCGTCTGCGCTGTGGGGAAACTCTTCGAGGTTCATTGTAAAAAAGGTTGCGATGAATGACAGGGGAAGAAAGACGGTTGTGACGATAGTAAACACCATGAGAATCTTGCCCTGGCGGGTTGTGCCAGCAGCTTGGTCGCGGGCGAATCGGGCCTCGAAAGCGTTTGCATGCTTTTGCTTTAGATCTAGCAAATCCGTGATGGATGAATATATACGCTCTGCTTGCTTATCCATCCGCTCGATGTCCTTAAGGTGCATGTCGATCGCGCGTTGCTGCTCCTTGAATCGCCTCTTGATTTCGTACTGCGATCGATGCTCTACCTGATAAATTCCAAAGATGACATCTTGGAAGTCAAGTAGGACATCTTGCTGGTGTTGTAGAACAGTACGAATCATGTTGAGTTCGTCACGGATGTCCTTAGCCTCGGCGAGAAGGTCGATCTCCTGTCCGATATCGAGGAGATTATCCACGAAGAGGGGCACTTCATCTTCGTCTTCTTCAAACTGTTCATCGCCGTCACGGTCGGTGGCATCCTTTTTTGACTGCGAGTTCCGAGCGAAACGACTCAGCTTGCGATGGTTTTTGAGCCAGTCCGAGGCCTGGGCTGATGCACGGTTGAATTTATTAAAAAGCACTGTCTCGCGGTCCGTTGCAATGCCAATTGAGGACTCGAACATGTCCAAGAACTGGTACTCGTCGTCACCCATACGGTGGCGGTCAAAGACACCCGAACAGCGGTTTGTGATGATGCTGGCCAAGTCATATACAGAACGAACTGGTTCTCGAGTCTTGGAGTTTATGTCCTCTATGATTCCGTCCAACACGTTTAGCGGGTCATTTTTTGGTTGTTCCCATCGTTGTGCGAAACAGGTGACGATCAAATCCGTCCCCATGATCCACATCCACAGTTGGTCCACCATGAAAATCTTGGGCTCAGTTCCGTATCTCTCTTGTCCTTGTCCCTTGGTCTGATAGCGATACACCACCTGGTCCTGATCTCGGGTCTGGGTGTCAATATTAGGGTAGAAAAACTGATCCAGTGTCCGTCGGACATGAAGCGACGCCGTGGAAGATGCCAGGTGCGCGCGGATGAGCATCTCATCCCGTGTAGGGGAGCGAGAGAATCCAGTCTGAATATTAAGCGTCTCAGCTCGTTGTATTGCTTCTTGCATTTTCAGCCTTCTTTCAGCAGTTTCGAAATGGAGATATGGCATAAACACGCACACATTGCTGGTGGCAGAATGTCCGTTGTCCTTACAGAGAGAGAGTGGATGTCGACGTTGCTCGTCATTCTTCGAATTTTGTATCAATTCACCCTTCGCTCTACCCCGTTTGGTGTGATTCTTCGCTTTTTTCCCTTGGGAGCTATTCGAGGTATCGTCAGATTCGGCCCGTTCGAGCTTTCCTCCCTGTGGCTTCTGCTTCTTTGCTTTGTGGCTACCGCCGTTTGCTGGACTTTTCGGCAGCTCTTGGAGACGCCCGTTGATGACAATTTGAGGGAGCTTTCTCTCAACCTTCTCCTCTGCGCTTTCTTCTTTTTCTTCATCGAACCGTTGCTTTCGTTGTGTGCGTTGACACATTGGTCGCATAAAGAGGGAATGCGTTCTTTGACCTCGATGTTGGTAGTGGAATGACCTTTCAAGGCCCTTGAAGCTGTCGATGTCATGCGCGCCCTCCTCGATGAAATTCTTAGTGAGCAGCGCCTCGACCCAAGCCATATTGTTCGCGGGAAGATGAATCCACCTGAAGTCGGTAACTTTACTATCCTTGGGAACAGTAGTAAAAGCTTGCTTGTGTGGATTATCAGGGTCTCGCCCGTATAGTAAGTTAAAAACTGATGTTTTTCTCACTCTGTTCTCGTTGCGAAAGTTTCCAAAGTCGACAACTGTCGCTTCGAAACCTTCGCAAGCACCCCGTGCATCCGGCGAAAGTGCATCTACATTATTGAATGGTGCCAGGAGCAAGACGATATCTTTGCGCTTGAACTGAGCTGCTCGTAAGAATGGCGTACAGCCAAAGTTATCACGGACCCTCCGCTTCAAATCCGGATGCTCTAGAAGACATTGGACGACGTCGGTGTGTCCTGCCTGGGCTGCCAGATGCAGCGGTGTGATACCATTCAAAAGTTGACTGTTGATCTTGGCTCCAGTGCGCAATAAAATGCGCACTATCTCCTTAGCGCCCTTATCACAAGCATTATGCAGTGGAGTCCAGCCGCCATCACTTCTGGAGTCAATATCTGCACCGTGTCGGAGTAGAAGATGTACAATACTGTCCCAATCGTGAGCGATTGCGATATGAAGTGCACTTTTATTTCTGTACTCGGTCGCATTTACGTTCGCAATGGGCCCATGTGGTCTTGTCAAGAGCAACTCTGCGAAGCGCAACTTCCCCGTCGCGCAAGCCCAATGCAGTGGAGTTCGACCCAACTCATCCTGGCCGGCTTCACCATCGATCTCGCAAACAGTCTTCAACAAAAGTGCAATAACATCCTCACCCCAGTTGCAGTGCTTATCGGCTGCCAGGTTATGCAGCACATTCCTCTTTCTGTGATCTTTCGCGTTGACATTTGCGCCTCGTGCGATTAGTATTTGCAGCACATGCCAGTGGTTCTTCCAGGCGGCTGTCATCAACGCCGTTCGACCATCCTTATCCGTCGTCTCTAGAGGTATGCCATAATCTAACAACAGCTGCACTATCCGGACGTGATTCCGCTCAACGGCGCGCAATAGCGGTGAAGGGCGATTGTTCGCGACGAGCGGAGAGGGTCGATTACTCCCATCCTTCTGATTCACGCACAATAAGTCCAACAAATACTGCGTTGCAGCAATGCATCCGCGCTCGCAGCTTCGCATAAGCCCAACTCGCAGAAAGTTGTCACTGTACTGGCCATTCTCGTGGGCCAATTCGATAATGTGCCTCAGCGCCTCGACGCTGTCGTTTTCGGCCGCTCGTAATAAACGCGGCTCCAGACGGTCACCGCTGTCACTTGCAATACTAGATCGTGACCTGGACATGGTCAAGGCTTTGGGCGGATGCCGCTACCGCATTCTATCGGTCGGTGCAGCTTTGACACGAGTGAACGCGCATCGAAGCTGAGGCGGAAAAAATGGCGATTGTGACAGTAAAAATTGCGGCAAAGTGTGTGATTAGCGTAATTACCACACGGGAAACCAATACGAAGTCGATCATTTAAGCAATGGCCCGGACGTGAGGTAGTTCATTTAGCTGCAGATTTTGAGGCCGATCCGCAATAACGTCCAGTATTCTGGCAGGGTCTGAGCGATTCCTTTTTCCCTTTTTACTTCGTTTCCCCCCACCTCCCTTGGTTGCCAAGATACCTGCATCATGTTTACTTGTCCATGACCATCGATGATGGGGACAAGATGCGTGTCAATTTCATTTCCAGCTGTTGCTGTGCTCTCGCCCTCAACAGCCGCCGTTTCGCACTAAGCGAAGTGGCTGGGTTAGCGCGGGTCGCTGACAGAATATCCTGTTTGACGACTTTCTGATCGGCAAATTAGCAGTGTTTCTGTATCGTACGACTTGGCATACTCCGGGGTAGAATGGCTAAGAGTTATCTCGTGTAAATAACTTCAGAGAGAAGGGATCAGCGAACACCGTGATCCTCTAATAGAGGATATTGTAGGATATAGAGGTTAACGGGTAAGGTTTTCTTGGGAGTACGACAACCTCCAGGAGCCGGGGGTTTGGAACCAGAGGATAAAGGGGGAGGGGAAGGACAGAATGTTGCTGCTGAATTGCAAAATCCCCAAAAAGGAGGGTTTTATTATAATAATTACCAGTCCAACACGGACCATTATCTCTATCAGGTTCATAGTAAAGAACATCAAATCAGACCGCCTTTGGGTCAACAGAAGAATCCCAAGGGAATTCGCCAAAATAGAACAGGAGAAAAGGAAACGAAAACAAAGAGAGGAAGAGAAGAAAGGATTATATGCTTGCATGATGAAGGACGACAGGAGGTATGAAGGAACGCGGTGCTAAGACACAGATCTTCAAAACCATGGCAATCTTGCCATTTTGTT